ATGAAACTTGTTTAGCTGACGCTTGTATCCAAGCAACTCACAGTAAGCGCAATTATCTATGTGGACATAACCCCCAAACAGCAAGCACATCAGCTTAATCAAATATGCTGAACTGCCTCAAGTGCTACATTTAATTAATTCATGCATTTTATTTAAAAACTAAAGAAGACCCATTAATCTGAAATCCTAGGAGAAAGATTTTGATTATAATGTCTTTTACAGTATGTCTATGAATATGTTATTTTTACTAGAGGACAGGGGTCATCAGCATAAAAGTTTAAGAGTTTTATCATCTATTAAACACATTCATTGCCAGGAGTCAGTTTTACTGTGTATGTGTCAAGGTGATTCAAGTCTGCCATTCACCAAGAGCAGTAACTGCTTCTGACACTCTTGAATAGAGTTCAAATACAGGTTGTTTCATGACTACTTTAAACCAGATGCTCCTGTGTGGTGTAATCCGTTATATTAAGTGATGGTCCTTCCTAGCATAGAAGCTAGGGCAAGTTTAGTTCAGCTACAGTTTTAGTTTTTGAAATGAGGGGCTCATCAGACTAAAATGCAACTGCTGCCCTGGTTATTAACTAATTCAGCATTTAAAAAAAGACATTTCTGACAGGGTCACAGTCAGCTGCTGCACTCACATTCAAATAAATGCTTCAAGTTGAAAACTAAAGTGTTCAGTGATGCTTTCATGATACAGTTAAAAAATACCAGGGATTTTCTTTCTGTGTCATGGTCACATGGATTTTTCTGCTTTGCCTAAAAATAATTAGAGGTATCTTAACTAGAAGTACTGCTGGGAGTGCTGTAGGTGCAGATGAGGCCAATAATATATGCCCATTAAAAACAACTCTTTATGTTGACAGTAGGTGGCCAGGTAGCTTGAAACATGGCAAAGACCATGAGACAATGGGCCCGTAGGCAAATATATGCAAAACGCCCCACCTCTACATACGATCAAGACACACACAGTCTTTATGGTGGGTTTGCCTTGTTTTTGTTTGTTTTGCATCGCTTTGTAGTTAGTATGCATCTTATTGTGGTTTCGGGTCTCTTTGTAGTCAATAGCCCCTTTTCCACCAGTATTTCCAGGAACTTTTATGACCAGGAATTTATTTACCCGGGTAAAAGAATTCCTGGGAATCTGTGTGGTTTGCGTTTCCACTGCACCTCAAAGTTCCGGAAAATTTGTTCAAATTAGCGTGATGACATAGATGATTTGGTGTGTGTCCTGTATTTGGCTCTGCCAGCTTGGTTACATGCTGGTGTAGACAGTTGGGCCTGTTCGTCTCAGTCAGCAGCTCAGTTTAAAAGTATTTTAAGAGAAGTGTCAAACTAAGTTAGTCTCCATACAGACAGCTGTCATTTGAGCTTATTAGCAACAATTAACTATCAACCGAACTAGTGTGCTGTCCTTGTGTAAGACATAGCGTTAGTGTCGGTGGATGAGAGACTGTGGACGGAACATATTGAATATCACTGTCTACATGTCTACATGTTCATGCTGCTGAACACATGTATTGATAAAGTCAAGTCGAGTCATTTTCGAGTTATCTTCACTTCGTTTCCACCTCGGCTGCTCAGCTGTTCAGCGGTTACCGTTTGACAATTTAGCCCCGGGGCTAATTCAGTACCGGGTTTCGGTACCCATCCTTAATCAAAACACAAACGAAGTGAAGCTTATGGAAATGAAATAAGGTTTGCAGCGGCTGCCCCTTGCCAGGAAATGCAGAACGCTGCAAGTGTGTGTTCCACCAACCAACATTCTTCAGCAAACAGCCCCGCCCCTCAAGAATTCCAGGTAATCTGAAAAGTCCTACTCCCCTACTGGGTACTTTTTTCAGGGAAAGTTTGGGGTTAGGGGAAAGTTTTTTACCTGGGTAATTTCGGTCGAAACGCGCCAAGGTTTTTCAAAGTCCTGGGTAAATGATAAAAGTTCCTGCGGTGGAAAAGGGGCTATTTTGTGTCTTTTTTTGGTCATTTTGTGTCTCTTTGTAGTTCGTTTGCATGTTTTGTGGTTCTTTTTTATCTCGTTGAGGTCATTTTGCATCTCATTAAGGTATATTTGAGTCTCTTTGCAGTTCCTTTGCATCTCTTAGTTGTCTTTTTGTGTCTCTTTAAAGAATGTTTGTGTCTCTTTAAAGAATGTTTGTGTCCCTTGGGGTATATTTTGTGTCTGTTTGTAGTTGTTTTGTGTCTATGTGTAGTCATTTTAATCTCTTTGAAGTAATTTTGTGTCATTTTGAGGAATATCTGTGTCTTTTTTTGTTGTTTTGTGTCTATTTGTAGTCCCATTGCATCTCTTTGTGGTGTCTAAGTAGTCATTTTGGTGTCTCTTTGAAGTTGGTTAATTTGACTGCTATGCTGCAGGTAACTATGGGGGCCCCTGATACCTGGGGCCCCTGGGACCGTGCCCAGTATGCCTGTACAGTAATCCATGGCAGAAAGAGACCCAGCTGTCCAAACAAAAAAAATATCCTTATAACTGGCACTACAATAGACAGAATCAGTGACAACAGTAAAACCTTTTTTAATCAGACCAATCCTCCTTATAGCTTACATTTGATCTATCCTGAAATTAAACCACTCCCCTTTTTTGCACAGGACCCCCTTAAGCTCCCTTAAGGACCACTCATGTTCCCCAGACCCCAGGCTGGCAACCACTGGGTCACTAAATGAGTATGTGAAATGTTTGCTTGCCAGAGGAAACATCTATTATGCCATGACCTGAACCTAATGATGGCAGGAATGTAAAAGAAGATGGCAATTATGGTTCATTTTGATGATGAAAATGCATTTGACATTTAGGGTTCAATTACCTACAACTGAAAAATAAGAGGGTCTAATTGGCATGTTGCTGTGTGGTAAATGCCACCGTTCAGACATGGAACCACATGCAGTCACACATGCTTCTCTCAGTGATAACAGCTGGTTGTTTATTTGGACAATGTCTCCCCCCTGAGGCTGAAAATGATTATTGTAAGAAAAAACCCCACAGCCACCCAGTAACTGCATGCAAGCCCATGTTTTAAGCATACAGTTAACATGACCTAATTTAGTGCCTGTTTAATTGTTTTCATGTTTTGTGTAGAGCTCCCATGCCATCTAGTATGTACATCTCTTGCATCCTTTTAATACTCAATCATATTGCATTTGACAGGTCACAGTGTCATTCCATCAGTATCATGAATGTCGACAGGTATGCATAAAATCAAATTCAGTTCATTATCATCTTTAACTATGTATCTTTTATTCTTTTCACTGGAGAGATTCCAGTAACTGAGCAAGGTAACTGCAAAGCTCTGTCAGATTTTTGGTAACCAGGTATGATGCTTCAAGAAATCACAGTTTTGTTATTTCTATATTAATTCTTATTTTCATAATAGTCCAATTATTATTATTTCTGTTATGTTTTCCTTTTTTATTTTCATAGATGGCAATAACAGAACACTGCACACTAAGAACGTCATTGTAAATGATGAATACACATGACAATAAAACTTCTGACTTGGACCTGATTGTATATTAATTTGCTGTAACTCAGTTTGCTGCACTGCTTTCTGTTCGATGTGATCTTTGTTTTCCTTCAACTGCAACATAGAAGTGATGAAGTATAAGCAGGGGCCTAATTAACCTACACACACACACACACACAGAGGAAATATACACATACACATGCAGTAGTTGTGGGGAGATGCCAGAGTGATGGGGCTGCCTCATTGCTGGCAGCTCCACACAGTTAGGGGTTCAGCAATCTGGAAATCCATCGGTAAAAAAAAAAAAAAGATTTTTTTTTTTCTTCCTTTACAATGTACAATGTAAATTGCAGAATCTGTCTTGAGAGATTAGGGGTTCAGTGGCTTGCTCAAGGAGATGAACAGGCACTTCTCCAGCTACCAGTCCACACTCCATACTGTGGTCCTTGCTGGACTTGAGCCAGGCCACCCTCCAGTTACCAGTCCCTACAGAGTGAGCCATTGCTGACATATTTTGAAACAGGGTCTTGAGATGAAATAATAAAGCAGGCTACACCTGAAGACCCATATTATGATAGTTGCTATTATGTAGTTATGTTATGTATAATAGTGCATATCCCCAAACAGAATTTTGATTAAATTAGCAGAAACCAGTTGCCATGTGGTCAGCCTGGGGCTTCAAGGGCCCCTGGGAGTTCTGGCACCCTAGGGCCCTGTTGGTAATCCAGCCTTGATTATAGACCCTTTTCACAGCGGACATTTTGACATATGGTAGTAGGAAAACCACATAACAGCACATAACACAAATCAGTTGGCCTTAACCAGGGGTCTGGGGACCCGCAGGGGTCCTTGAGGGAGTTCCAGGGGTCCCCAGAAGAAAGGGAATTAATGTGTTTTCACTTCTTAATTCACTATGGAAGTGAGCCCAACGCAAGTGCCCAAGTAAGAGTCATGAGCATAGGCACAGATTTTGGGGGCTCACAGTAGTAATAGTACTTTTATTTTGACAAACTGCTAGAACGCGACTCATAGATGCAAAAATATTTAAGTACTGTACGTGGTGGCTGTCTGCATCTTCAAACCTCAAAAGCAATGGTTGCAATCTGACATAAAATAGTGAGGAGATGAAGCAACTATATGCACAGTTGAAGCAGGACGTACCATGACATTTCCACCATATATTGATGCACATTATATATATATATC